CTTATGTCGGCCAGTCGTTGTTGTACCCTCATCTCCACCAACTCGTTGATGCGGGCGTCCTCGTCTTCTGCGTGACGGGCCCCTCGTTCTTGGTCGGCGCTGGATATCGGTGACAGCTTCTGATCGTCGCAAAGCGATACTCCAAACTAAGCTCGACGCGAATCTCGTAGACGACGTGTCATACGCTAGCGTGATCGATAATTCGGGTGGCTCAGTTGTGTGTGATGGGAGTGTAGAGCACCTCGGCCATGACGGGCCGTAGGGGTAGGTAAAGTCGTACAGACGTGGAAAACGTGTTGTATTCATCGGGGGCGTGCTTGAGCTCGTCATTCCATCACGGCATCAAGTCACGCATAACGCTCAAACACCCAAAACGAATCTCTATGAATGTCCACCAATCTACCACACTCCCAAGGAAAACATAAACTTCTTGTTCCTCCGTAGTTCGTCACTGCAAATCCCGCCAATGTATACGCAATATACCACCCCCATGCTATGCTGCGAGTATATCGAATATGGGGGGGAGCCACACAGTATCAGCAACCTTTGCCAGACTACAGCTTCCAGCAGCAGCCGTATTAACAGGAGCGGGCGCACATGCGAGTACGAGCTTCCCGTCCACCGGTGGAGTCGCTGCTGGTGTTGTACCTTCGAGTTCGAGTGCGAATCCGAGCTTCCAGTCCGCCGGNTCCTTTTAACCCAAATACAGGAGCGGGCGCACATGCGAGTACGAGCTTCCCGTCCACCGGTGGAGTCGCTGCTGGTGTTGTACCTTCGAGTTCGAGTGCGAATCCGAGCTTCCAGTCCGCCGGTGGTGCCGCTGCCGGTGTTGTACCTCCGAGTGCCAGTGCGAGTCCGAGCTTCCAGTCCGCCGGTGGAGTCGCTGCCGGTGTTGTACCTTCGTCTGCGTGTGCGACTACGAGCGTCCCATCCACCACGTCCGGTGTAGTGATCCCGCATTGTGCATTCCCGCCAATCGACGTAGATGTAGTGCCAACGATTATTGCCGACTACCAGCCTGTAATCACAGCTGCCGTAGCGTCGTCCGAGATTGCTTCTCCCTCCGTCGTTGACCCGAGCGATTGTCGCGAAGTTGTGATCAACCCCCTCATCCCCCAGGACCATTTGCCTCTCATGGATATGAGCATGTTCCTTGATGTAGGCCTGATGGATGGAATAGACTCGGTCCCACAGGGTGATTTTTTTCCGGATGCGCTTCATGTTTGCGACCTNTTCTCCCTCCGTCGTTGACCCGAGCGATTTTCGTGAAGTTGTGATCAACCCCCTCATCCCCCAGGACCATTTGCCTCTCATGGATATGAGCATGTTCCTTGATGTAGGCCTGATGGATGGAATAGACTCGGTCTTGCAGGGTGATTTTTTGCCGGATGCGCTTGATGTTTGCGACACTCTGCAACACCCCCACCCCCCCCCGCGTTTGCTGTGATGAGTGACGAATTGGATTGCCTGGAGGGTTTTGTTGCTGGATGCAGTGAGCAGCAAACCGTAGCTCCCCCCTCCCTCTCGCATGCCTTGGCGATTATCGCCCCCGGTGCTTCCCCGTTTTCAGTAGGAAAATCCACGCCGACCATTGACATTAATTTGTTTCACGCCTCCACCGGCCATGTAAACGAATTTTGGATGCGTGAAACGGCCAAGCAGCAGGGCGTACGACTGGTGGGGGAGATGCAGCCATGTGTGGGCTGCGTGGAGGCGAAGGGCAGGCGGGCACCGGTGCCGCGGCATGGCACCCGCTCGGCGGTACCGTTCGGCAAAGTCCACATTGACCTCACGGACCCGCTCTCTGACGCGCTGGACGGCTCCCGGTACCTGATCATGTTCGTGGACATCGCATCGCGGTGGCAACGGGGGTACGGGATGCGGGCNTGGCAAAGTCCACATCGACCTCACGGACCCGTTCTTTGACGCGCTGGACGGCTCCAGGTACTTGATCATGTTCGTGGGCAGCGCATCGCGGTGGCAACGGGGGTACGGGATGCGGGCAAAGAGCGACACCCTGAACTTCGTGCAGCGGTTCCTCGCCGACATGAACGGCATGGGCACTCCGGGGTGTTTCCGCATGGACAACGGCGGCGAGTTCACAGGCTCCGCGTTCACCTCGTTCTGCGACGCTGCTGGCATTCGGCGCGAGTACACCGCCCCCGACACCCCCAAGCAAAACGCGGTGGTAGAGAGCGCCATATGGAGCGCCATGAAGGGGGGACACGCCGCGCGCCGCCACATCCTCGCCATGGGCCACGTCGACCTCTCCTCCATCCCCAACGTCGGCGTCAACGGACATCGCCTGTGGCTCGCGTCGGCGCTGTGGGCATCCGCTTGCTTCAACCGCTCCGCGCCGAAGGCCAACCTGGGCTGGATGTCGCCGTTTGAGGCGTTCTTCGGCCGGAAGCCGCCCCTCACCGTCGTCCCATTTTTCCAGGAGGGGATGATGCGCGTGAAGCGGGTCACGAAGGCGGACGTCCAATCCGCGCGGTGCTTCTACCTGCACGGCGCCAACAACCACTCGACGTCTACCGCCGTCGTTCTTCGCGCTGACACCGGTCGCCTCGCCCTCACCAACAACGTCGTGTGGGTCAACCGCCGGGCAGGGGCGCCGGCGCCGGTGCCGGGCATCGGGGGGGGTTCTTCGGTCACCGCGGCGCCCTCGCCGGCCACCGCCGTACCTGCGGCCGATGCCGCACCGCCGCCGCCCCCGCCATCAAGGACGTACACCTACATCCCGCCTGCACCAGCGACCACCGCACCGCCGCAGCCCGCTTCCCCGCCGATCTTCACAGGATCCTCAGCCCCGTCGCCGATCTCCGTCGCCCCATCATCAGCCCCACCGTCGACCGCAACAACACCGCCCCGTTAGCCCCCGGGCCTGCCGCCGCCGCCGCCGCAGCCCACCAGCTCCGCCACCCACGCCCCCCCGTACCCGCCGCTCGAAACGAGCCGTGAAGGAATTGGGACGAGAGGACACGAGGGTTCACGGCCGTACTCGCGGTGATGGAGTGTGGTTCATGGAGGAACAACAACAACCGCCGTCCGGTGCCGGCACCGCTCTCCACCACCGTCTTGGTCTGTTAGCGATGATGGACAAGGACTTCCTCATCTCGTCGCTCGCCACTCGGGAGGCC